AGTAGTGAAACTGTCAAAACTTTCTAGTAAATAAATCAGAATTACTCACACTGAAACGGGAAATCTCATTCTCAACAAATGATAGAAACTATCACTTATCTTAAGTATTGACGGGTAAATTGAACGATCTTAGCTCATTTAATTTTTACAAAACTTGAAATATCTTTTGAAATTTATCTAAATCTTAATCAATTTCAGTGGTATAAATAAGAATTTATAAACAATATTTCCATTGAAAATTATATTATCTCATAGAAAATAATATATCCTATTTTTGTTTAAAAGAAGTTTTTTAAGTAATGTAAATTTATGAGATGCGTTTAATATTTGTTTGCTATGATTTCCAATTAATGATTAAGTTTTAAAGGTTTCTACAAGGCTCAAGCCAGTAACGTGTTTAAAATAAAAATTATATTTCCCGATTTTCAAAAATCCAAGTGTTATTAATAAAAATTATATTTCTAAATTGTCGCAAATTTAAGCTTTTTTAATAAATTTAATACTTCGATTACCACAAATTTAAGCATTTTTAATAAAATAAGCTTCTGAATTATGCTTAAAAATTAAAAAAGTGATTAAAAAAAACTTGACTAACTAAATAATTCTTCAAATAACAACAGCTAGAACCTTGCAATAGGTGTTAGAACTTGAAAACTTATACAATATGATAAAACAGTAAAATATTGACCATTTCAAAACAATCGCTTTTTGCATAGTTATCTAGTTAAAGTATTATATAACTACGATATTATATAAGTTCCCAGCTTAAAAGTCAAATTTGAAACAAAGAATTACGATATTAAATATTAATTATGCAAAAGCATAATTTTATGATAGCTATTTCTGTTAACCTCTCCCAGGTAGGTGACTTAACGTATTTTCGATAATAATGATGTTTAGAGATTTATGTAGACAACCAAAATCATTAACAATATGCATAGAAAACCACTTTTTAAAACTTATATGAATGGAAAGGCGTGTTGTCATGCAGAACTTGTGTATTATTCATTTCTTTATTTCTCTCGCATGCACTATTGCTTGCACCCTTTAGTCCAGGACACATTTTTAAAATGATTTTAAAATGCATTTTTAAATGTATTTATAATTCCTTTTAAGACATTTTAAAATTATAATGCATCGTAATGCATTTTTGAAATTATTTTAAAGCTGCGTGTATTGTTTTGGATCTTTTTATATACTGCTGTACCATACAAAACGTATTAAATTCTCTCAAATCTTCTATGATTAATTTTTTTTCTTCAAAAAATGCGAAATTTGAAATTATTAAGCCATTAATATTTCTAATTTCTGATATTATTATATATATATATTATAATAAATATTATAATAAATATTAGAATTCGAAATAGAAATTTTTGCTTCATTTTGAATAAGGCTGGTCTGCTTTAATATTTTTGGTTTAATCTGATACTTTCCCTTTTCATTACTTATTTTAAAAAATATGAAAAAAATCTAGGAATGTCTTAAAATTTTCTTAAAAATGAATTAAAGTAAATTAATTACAATACAAACACTTCAAATTTCATGCAGTTATCTTTGATAGGTTTAAAAAAATAGAAAAAACCACGAAAAAATTATCATGCCAGGAAAAACTTTCTAGTTTTAGCATCACTTGAAATTCAGTGTGATGAAAAAAGAAATTATGTATGATTTGTTTTACTTTGTAAGTGAGATAAAGATCTAATTTTCCATAGTTTGAGATATAATTTTATAATGTTTTAAGTAGGAAAAAAAGATTTTAAAGATTTCTGTAATCCACACCTAAAAATCATTGAATAGTAATTATTGAAATTGTTCAATCATTGAACCATGTTTGGTAGCAATTGCTCGAGAAGACAGCGACTGTTACGACGCACTTCATATTATTATTAGTTTCTTAAATTTATTTTTATTTATTTATTCATTGTTCTATCATGGATTTGTTGTTGCCATGTTGATAGGATATTTTTAAAAAAGTTATGGGTGATACTAACACTTAGTTTGACTTTCGAATTTAAGTTGTATTACTTAAAATAAGCATCGTATTTTGTTTTACATTAGTTAATATTTACTTGAGATCATAATGGTTTTAACACAAGAGTATCTAAACAATTTCAAATTTGGATTTTAAAAATTTTTAAAAGAAAAAAGTTCATTTAAAATATAGATATTCTCTCTTTCTGACTAGTCCTTAATCAGAGTATATAGTGAATCTCGACGAATTTTACTGTATTTGTATTAGAATTACATTTCCTATCTTCATTTTATTTTCTATATTATTAAGTAGAACTTAATGTGCTGCTGGCGCATTATTATGCCGCAGAAAATTCTTTTAATTGGAGTATAAATGCTACAATTTAGTGCCACTTTCTTTAAAAGATCTTTCTTTTATAGATAACAGTTTCAATAGAATTAGAGTCTTAATTCACACACTTAAATCACTTTCTCTTAATATAACTTCTTAAATAGTAATAAACTGAAAATAGGTTTATTTATTAATAAAAAAGTTTTTAAAAGAAACTAATTTTTTTAAGAAGAAGTATTTATGTTATAAACTCAAATTTAATGAATTATGCGATTCTTTTTTCATTCACATTACAATTGTTATTACTCTTTAATCCTTTAACGCGAAAATTTTATCAAACCTATTTTTAATATTTTTTTCATTAGTTCGTATTAATTTAGGTCAAAATAAGTTAAAAATATTATATTTAGCATTTTATTAAATTATGGTTATGAAATCATGAAATACCGGGTATTTTTTTTTCCTGCGTAAAAGGTGAAATTTTCCAAACAGTTCCAAACAGTTTTTCAAATTTGCAGTTATTTAGATCTAAGAGAAACAGTTATTCATCATTAAAATTTCATTAATTTAGGAAATCAAATATTGGTAAATTTTTGAATACCAATAAAAAAAAATTTACGCTCTACATTTTTTGGATTTTAGTGCAAAGATAATTCCGATCATCTAACAGATTTTTTCAGTAACTATTAGACTGTTTTTGATGTTTAAAAAATTTCAAAATAAATTTGAACCCAATTTGATTTGAATTTTATCCTGCCAAAATATTTGTAATACTTGCAATCTAGCTAAAACAGTCAAAAGTGTAGCCAAGAGTCCGTAAAAAATTTAGGCACTTTAACACTAGTGCCTAACGTTTAGCATTTTAACGTTAGGCACTGAAATTAGCTTTAAATTTGAATTTTAAAAGTAAAAAAAGTTCATAAACATTATTTTCTTTAAAAAAATATCTATTGAGTACTTGAGAATGTGATTCGCTTAAATTATTAGAAAAAAATTTAATTTCAGTTGCGAATTCGGTGCCAAGAAGGCACAGAATTCGCAAACGTGGTTTCGAGTAAAAATTATTTTAATGTTTGGAATAATGATTGGAATAAATGATTTTAATGTTTGGATAACCAATGTATTACATTTGTTCTTTTTAAAGAGCTGCATCAGCTGCGAAATTCTAAAAATGATTATCGATTCTTATTCTTAGGTGTTAAACTTTTCAGTAAATTCTAAACACGCTTTCTTTGCCAGTCCTAAAAACTACCATGCCTCATTAAAACTCATTGAACGGGGGAAGTTCTTGTGCGAGAATTCTATTTTTTTTACTCTAAATTCTTTTTTTCTAAAAACTATTTTGAAACGAACGTTTAATTTTTAAGCAACTTACAAACACTAAATAAAATCCTTTGCAATCCAATTATTTACAATATAGTAAATACATTTAATACAATAAATAAATTTAATGCAATAAATAAATTTAATAAAATAAATAAATTATGCAAATAACAACTTATACTTAAAATATAATAATTTATGCAAACACAAAAATTTTAAATTTAGAAAACGATTACAAATTGTGCCATTTATAAAATCGTTTGCTCATATTATTGTGTTTTTTTCCCAGTTTTAGATCATTATTTTTAGACCATCAAATTGGCAGAAATCATATTACTTACATTTAATTTTAAATTGGTAAACAGAGGAAGTTTTAATTAACGAATTTTTGTTTAAATTTTGGATCTTTATTTGTCTGGAAAAACAACTTGATACTGTTTTGTTTCTCAAAACATCTATCATAGTGTTTATCAATATGTTGTAATATACAAATATAATATTACATAATCTTACATATACAGCAATATTTTGTATTTTACGTTTAAACAAAGCATTCTGAATTTAAATAATTTTAGCTCTATTATTACCAATATTGATTAATTTATCTGCGAGTTTCAGTTATTTAAATTACTTTATTTTTCTCAAGATCTATTCATTTTTAGTACGAAAAAGACATTAATGTACTGTATTTTAATAATTATTTACTAATTACAAGAATTTTTTATACGATTCTATCAATTTTATTGAGAGTCAATTAACAGTTCATCTTAGTACGGACAAGTCTTTTTTAGGTAGAAGTTATTGTTAAAATACTCAGTTGTAATAGTTCTTTAAATTTCACTTAGAAAAAAAAATCGAGAGAATTTTCTTCCATCCATTAAATATTTGCCAAATGGTAATTATGATATATATTTTTGAATTTTTTAGTTTGTCTTTAACTTTGTTGAATTTAAATCAATGATAATTCTAGAAATTTTTTTTCATTTGTCTGAAATATTTGGATGGATGACTTTTGGAGATTTCTAAGTATTGCGTGGGACATATACCCAGCCCCCCCTGCAATTGACACCCGAGCTAAAAGCTATAATAAACCATTTTCTGAAATTATTCGATTTAAACATCAAAAAGCTGTTAATAAACAAGAAAATAATGGTTCGCAGTTTTAAAAGCTAACAAAATGATGCCATAATTGCTCCGATATCTGATATTCAATATTTTTTTTACGCAGCAAATTCGAACACTTTGCGAATACTTTTTTTTCGAGAAAAGTTTTAATAATATTTCAGAGAGTATTTTACTTCATGTTTCGCATCACCATCCGAAGCGGAGCACCTGAAAAATAAGGGACGAATCAGATGTTAGAGGGTAGGTGACGTCATAGAAGACGGGGGCTCGTATGAATCTAAAAGATGATTTCTTAACTTGCATTTCGTTTACCAAAGCTATAGTTGTCAACCTGTGGATCACAATGGTTGTACTACATTTGTTATACATTCATCTTCTTCTAGCAGCTTTTGTCTATGGTGAGAATATTCATTTTATTAATATTATTTCCTCTTAAATAAAATGAATTTGAGAAGATTTTTCACTTTTTAATGAACATTAAAAATTAACTTTTAAAAGAAAAACGTTTCGAAACATTTCTGGCATAACAATTCATTAGAATTTTTTAATAATTTATACTTTGACTTTTTTCCAAGTTATAATTTTTATTTTTAATTCAAAACTTGTATATTTGCCTAAATATATCTGTTAATAATGTATCATAATATGAGCAATATGAAATGGATAAAATAACATTATATAATCTCTAAGACTTGTAAAGTATAATGGATAAATCTTCAAAGAAAAAAATCATTTTCAGTTTAAAACGTGTATATTTGGTAAAATATATATGTGAGTAATGTATATAATAACATGAACAATATGAAATGGAAAAAATAATATTATATAATCTCCAATAGTTGTAAGCATAATGGATAAATCTTCGAAGGAAAAAATAAATAAGCAGAATTAGTAAAGGAGGACAGGAAATTAAGAAATTCTTAAAAATCTAAATAATTAATCACTGAAACTTACCTTCAAGATTTCTTATTTAATTTTAAATGATTGAAAAAAGCATTCACTCAATTTAAATAATCATCGCAGTAACTTCTATATTCTTTATCCTGAACGATGTTAACATGAATTTAAAAAAATAATTAAAAACATTATATACTTTTCATTATTATATTTTAAAGGGAGCAAGTTTGCTTGTTATTTATTTTTAAATATTAATGCACATTAAATGTTTGAAATATTACTTTTATCCAACTTACAAAATAAGCTTATCGAAGAAATATATGTATTAAAAACTTTGACAAAATTTTATTGAAACAATTTATTCTTTCTAAGGTCATTTCTATCTTATTTATATATCGACTCAATTTAATTACAGGTCAATACAGTTTGATTAAAAAAAATTTGTGCTATTGTTTTTAAATTAAGTTGGAAAAAAGTTTAAAAAAATATATACTAGGAATTCGAAGTTAAAAATGGATAAACTAGTATAATTAACAAACAATGAAAATATCTTATTAATTAATTTTAAACTGTATATTTTATATTTTATTCTAATATAACCAAATTTTAATAATGTGTAATGTTTAATTTAAACCATGTTAGTGATTTTAATTTCAAAGTCAGCTCAACAAATATGAAATAAATTCCAACTTTTAATTTCAAATCTAACTATTTGTTAATAAAATTCATTAGGTGATATAAATTGATATTAGTTTGAAAACAAAAATTCATAGTAGGAAAATAAAATTTAATCTTTAATATCTGTTTAAACCGTTATGCATCATTGCGCTTTATGAAATAATTAATCTTTATACTTTCCCAGCGGAAAATGAACAGAATCCTTTAGAATTGTATTATATTTTAATTTACAAATCTTGGTTGAACATTGAATAATTATTAATTTTGAATCGCATAAAATAAGTAGCCTCGAAAGTTACATTGTCAATAAGTTTATTATTACTTAAAAAGTCCTTTGAAGTATTACTTTATTTCTTCCTTAAAAGTAATTATAAATTATTTCCTGCTAAAGTAATATTACTTTATTCTCTTTTTATTAGTTTATTCTATGCTTTGAATTTAAACTGCAGTAAAAAGAATAATTTATCTTGTTATTAAATAATAACACTAATTATTATTGACAAAAATTATTTCATATGTATCTAATTCTAGATTTATGATATGTAACTGATTCTTACCAAGTTTTCGTCAGAGAAAATTTTGAAGTGCAAAATTTAAAATATTAATAGTACGCTAAGTTAGAAATAAATTGAATGGGTTTCAAATTATAAAATTCTTTTTAATAACTAGCTAAATGCATACAGGGTGCTCCGTATTCACCGCTTTTATGAATATTTGAGTAAGGGTATTACGGTAAGGATAATATTTACGTAAGGCTATTAAGGGTTAAGAAACGAAAGGTAAAATGTATAATATTTAAGTAAACAAACAAAGCAAAAAAAGAAGCGTTAATAAAATCTGATTGCGAAATACGGGATTCCAAGCATTAAAACCAGTTTAATTGCCAAATGAAACTTTAAAATGCTTCTAATAATCACTTTTCACTTTCTTCAGAAATGAAACAGATTTTAATATTTTTAATTTCATCTTCATTGTTAATGTATGCTATGATTCTTCAGATTTTCATAACATTTCTTTTTCACCCTTTAACATTAATTTGTTAACATTTATTAGTGTGGGCTTTTCCTTTAGCTTTGACAAGAGCGCTGAAAGATATATTAATGGTAGGGATTATGGAACACCTGTATATAAACATTTTGAAGGATAAAATAAGTTATAGGTTGAGTCAAAAAATAAATGTAGGGTAGGGGGGCGCTCCTATCTTAAAGAAGCATATTAATTTAGTTTAGAAGTCTAAAATGTAATTTTTTGGAGAAATGAGCCAAAACACAAAAACTTACATAATTTCACAGCTTCCAAATAAACTCTACAAACGAAATAAGAATTTAATAAAAAAAAACTTTATTTGTTATGTATTCTAAAAAACAAGCAAGCATTCAAAATATGAATTTGAACAAAGCAATTTGTATTAGTTAAATGTTTTATGAATAAACTTTGATTGCCCGATTGTAAGTAATTGAATGTAATTAAGTATCGATAATAAGTAACTGGGATCGAATCTACTTAGGTAATCGTAACATTCAGATCATAAAGGTATTTTCATTTTTAATCTGATTTTATCAACAAATTCTCAAAAACAAGATTCTGCTTTAATAATAATGCAATTTAGTATTCAAACTTAAAATGAATATTTAATAAATTTCTTCTTTTTATAATTTTTACCAAAGATATAAAAATATTTCTTTAAAAATTCACTTGCGCTATTCCCTCACACAGTAGTACTCTTTCGCTTTGTTTTTGAACAAACCAGCATCTGATTCTGAATCGTTAGTGGATTTCATTGATTTATTTTCCTTTACAAGCTTTGCAAGGTTTTTTCCTAATTCCATTCGAAATACGATATTATATATTTCTTGTACAGATAACATAACACACTACGTTTTCGCCGAAATGGTTGTTAAACTAAACCATACTGTTGATAATAAAAAGATTGATGAATCAAAGAAAATTAAATTTTTCATGATTCTTTAACAAAACTACGATTTGACATATTTCTTGCACATATAACATAGAACTCTCCCTTTTAGTAACAATGGAAACCATGATGTCTAAACTAAACTACACTGTTAATAACGAAAAGATTGATGAAACAGCGAAAATTAAAACTTTCATGCTTCTTTAGCAAAACTACTATCTTACATACTTCAGGCACAGATAATATAAAGCGCTCCCTTTTAATAAAAATGTAAACCATGATGGTTAAACTAAACTACACTGTTAATAATAAAAAGATTGATGAAACAACGAAAATTAAAACTTTCATATATCTTTAGAAAAACCAAAGCAACCAACATCACCAACTAACAAAACGCTTCTTTATTACTCGCATAAAATTATTAATTTTATGTAGTCATGCAATACAAAAATTTTATTTAGTATTGTTTTTATTGAAGTTCTCTTATATAGCTGTGCTATGATAGCATATTATTAAAATTGAGAAAGAAAAAAAGAAAAATTAAGCAGCGGTGAAAAAAAAATTTTTTTTTAAAAAGAACAACAGAAACTTTAAATCAGATTTTGATTAGAAAGGTATTTGGATTAAAACGGTATTCGGATTAAAAAATTCTTACAACCGAAGATTTTCATCTTCTGAAAAATATACTTTCAGCTTATTTAGGCTATGGATTTCGATTTGTACAGTTTCAAATTCGATTGCGTGCTTTATGATGTACTTGTAGTTTTTTATAATTCAACATTATGTTTTAAATTTGTTTTAGGATCAAAAATATTCCGAATTGTATCGATTTGTAAGCTATAAGCTGCGAAAGTTTCGGATCAAATTATTGTATTAAATACCGCCACTTTCGGTGCATAATTATTACTGTAAAAATTACGACATATCATATTTTTTGCTTCGTTACATGTTTCAGTAAAAACGGATTTTACTACTTTTTGCCGAAATTTTTTGTTGTGTATAGCATCTAAGCATGTGCACCAAAGTTTCCTTTTGCAACATCAGAGCTAACACATATTATAGTTTCTTAACTCATTAACTCAGCGTCTATTTAAAAGTGTAGCGCTGCTGCTAGATGTCAGTTTGAGATTGCCTCTTTTTTTTTTCTTTTTTTTTTTTCTTTTTTTTTTAAGGCAGTACTTGTCGACTACTTTTTTTTTTAAAGAGGCCATCTCAAACTGACTTCCAAGGCAGAAAGAGAAAGGCAGAGACTCATGAAAAAGAAACTATATTATTTGGCTTTGATACAGCAATGCAGCCAGAAAAAAATTTATCCAAGATTAGTGGTAAAATTTGACTACGGGCTGTATCAAGCTAGTTGTAGTAACATTACAAAAATATGATTTCTGTAAGCAAAAAAGAAAAATGTCGTAGCACAAATGTTTTATTAATCGAATTTATAATGCGAAAACAAGGAAGTTTTATCTGTCATCATATATTAATAATACAAATATTTGTATGTGAATTTTAAATCATAACACAGGAATTAGAAAGAAATATGCACTACCAATTTTTGTTTTCCATTTATAGACCACGTTTCGTGACCGGACATTATTGGGTGAAATATTAAGATTTTGAACAACGCTCATAATCTTAAAATTGCTTTTCTATATCATGAATTTTATCAGTATTATCAATAAATTATTTAAAATGAATGTTTTATTCCCCTGTCTCAGGATTCTGTTCTTAATAGCCACTAATATAATAAATTAAATAATTTAAATTTCGCAACAAGTTTATAAACTCATAGCGAACGAAGTTGCTAATCCTTTAAAATGACAATAAGTTGTGACAATGAAATTGCTAATCATCTTAAATGAGGTCAGCGAGTAACTACTGCCACGAAGGCTTAAGGATTATTTTAATTAC